TACTACTGGCAACAAATTTAGATTCTAGAATGGCTTCTCTGGCCTTTTTTAAAAGCACAGTCAGGATGGAGCAATGAGGTAGACAAAATCCTCACCAGTGGTGCTCTGAACGAGGTCAGGCACGGATACACTGGTTTCTTTCCCACCACTCACTCCTCAAAACAAGACAGACTTGGACAAGAAAGCACTACGTACAAAACCCTTTACTGTAGGACAAATTGAAGCCAATAATCAAAAGGTACCTAAGGAAATGCTTTGAAAACACACTGAATCGTAACTTCAGAGGTTGTGATACAGGTCCCAAGGTTGGCCAGCAGGAAAGGATTGGCTCTTTTTAAATATGACTAAGTAGCTGCACCAGAGGCTGGGAAGAGGCATTAATCATTATACATACAATGCTGTAATTAGCAGCTTCTACAAAGCCAGGCTTTGTGTGTTCAAGATGTGGAAAAAATTACATTGGACCATATATAAGACATATCCATAAACTCAGACACCCAATGAAGTAAGTACTTCCCAGTTGCTACTATATATCTAGCACTGTAACATAATCTTTTAGTATAATAGCAAAGTTTATATGCTTAACTCAGTTTTTAATTTAGTTCTGTTCATTTGACTTGAGCATCTAAATAAAACTATGTGGTGGGGAAAGAAAATCAAAGAGCCTACCTATTCAACAAGTGCCTGATTAGCTTTCTTTCCATGTCTGATGCTTTTTAACACTTACAGTCATGTACACATCATAATGCTGTATCTCTGCAGTGAGGCAGTCCGGGTTGATTTCTGAATCTGCCATTTAAAAGCTTTGAGTCTGACAAGTTACTTAACCTTTTTGTGCTTCAGTCTCCTCATCTGTAAAATGGGGGTTATAACAGGACCTACTTTATCAAGTCATTGTGAGGATTATATAAGATACATGTAGCCCGGCCGGGCGTGGCTCAGCGGTTGAACGTCGACCTAGGATCCAGGAGATCGGGGTTCGATCCCCAATCAGGGCACATGCCCGGGTTGCGGGCTCGATCAATGACTCTCTCATCATTGATGTTTCTATCTCTCTCTCTCTCTCTCCTTTCCTCTCTCTGAAATCAATAAAGTTATATATATTAAAAAAAAAGATACAAGTAAAGCAAGTGGAATAACAATGATCATAAAGGTTCAATAAATGTTAGATTTTTTAAAGCCAAGTTCAATAAACATGGGCTAAATATAAAACTGAATATGGTCTTATATATACTTATAACAGGTCCAGCACAATAATCAATATTATATTGCTTTATAAACAGTGTATGCAGCATATAATCTATTATTAATGACATAAGGTGCTATGTGTGAAGCATGCTGCCTCTCCCTTTGTCAAAAAAACCCAAACTGTTCCAAAAGCATTCTCATTGCTCAAGTCTTATCTATCTCACAACCAAGAGGTGACTCACTAACCCTACCCAGAACTGACTGGGTCTCTCTCTTCCAGTGGAATCAGGGAATCAGAAGAAACAAAGAGTTGCTTCCCTGCCACTTTGAGAAGCTCACAGCATCCAGTATTATAGCTCACAAACTGCAAAGAACCTCAGAAATGCCTCAGTCAGGTTTTCTCCTATGTTCCATATGGCAAAGGAAATGCTCAGCACATGATTATGTCCCTGAGAATAAAAAGCCAGTATTCACCAAATTACCCCTCTTTGCTGCCAAAGAACAATGGGGCTTCAGTAATTTCCTTCTGTTGTAGCAGAAATAGATAGGGCATGACTTCAACAGTAGCAAAATGTCAAGATCGCTCCAACTTGCACTTGTTCTACATCAGCATGAGGGCTGGTTAGCATGACTCCATGCTTTGGACACAGACTGCCCCAACCCCATTCAGCTGTTCAAAGACAAAAGCCACAGATGGGACAATGTCCCTTTCAACTTGGAAAAGAAAATAAAGCCCCAAATGTCTATGTCTCTTCATCACAATTCAAAAGAATTGTCACCTGATAAACTCCTTCTTGAGTTTACAAACTGGGGACCTTGTCTGTCTTACCAAGCACTTAGTAAATTACCCAATCTACAATACTCTCAAGAAATGTGTTGAACAGTGACTGATCATGTATACTATGTAATTTCTATGTTCAACACAGGGGTGCCTTGATAATTACATTTCAATATACTATCTCAGTCCTTATGAAAGATGAAAAACACATCACCAGTTTTTCCATCCCAAGCAATCTGTTAAAGAAAACCATTACTTATAAACAGATTCCAAGCTATGGGGAGGGTAAATTAAAAATATACTTGTGTGTTTTGGATACATTTTTAAAAACATTTGTCAAATTCTTGTTCTGGCAAGATTCTTATAACTGTCCACATAACTTCTTGAGCTTAAAATGAGTCGTTAAATTCTAGCTTCTTCCAATTAAATAATTCAACACAGGGGTGCCTTGATAATTTAGTTACATACACCTTTAAGCATACATACATCTTTAGCATTTAGTTACATACACCTTTAAGAAAATTATTTAATGTTTTCACATTCTACCTCTTTGAGCAAAAATTAACTTATTCTCTTAATTCCTGAAATACCCCTATTGGTAGGTAAAATGACTATTCCCAAATTACCTGGCCTGAGTATCTTTTTCAGCAAAGGACCTAATTCACACAGAATATACTAACTAGCCAATCTAAACACAGTGTCCCCTAAAAAAAACCTAAACAAAGCAACAATATAGTGTTAACTTATTATATTAAGGGGAAGAAATCAAGATATTTCTTAAAAGACTTGGAGAAAAAAGAATGACAGTATCTTTGTCATATTTTTCCTGCCTTAGAAGATCTCTACACCTACTTTGAAAAGAGAAGTATGCACAAAGGTCCTTGGAGCTGAGGTACAGGTGTGGGTGTGGGTGTGGGTATGGGTATGGGTGTGGGTGTGGGTGTGGGTGTGGGTGTGGGTGTGGGTGTGGGTGTGGGC